AGACAGACAGACAGACAGACAGAGACAGAGACACAGAGACACAGAGAGACAGACAAACAGAGAAAATCAAGGTATAAGAGTAGTTAGCATAGATTTAAGATTTTCTTTGGTCTTCCATCTCTTGTATTTTGTTGGTTATGCTTACATCTGTAGTTCCTGATCATTTTCCCAGGTTTTCTATTTCCAGCATTCCCGCAGTTTGTGTTTTCCTTATTGTCTCTATTTCAGTTTTCAGGTCATGAATTATTTCCTTCATCTGTTTGATTGTTTTTTTTTCCTTGGCTTTCCTTTGCTTCTTTAAGAGATTTGTTGATTTCTTTCAATTTGATTTGTTTTTTCTTCCATTTCTTTAAGGGATTTTTCTCATATCCTCTTTGAGGGCCTCTATCATTTTCATGAAGCTGTTTTTAAGGTCATTCTCTTCTTTTGTAAAAACAGTGGTTAGGTACCAGGAAGTAAGTGTCAATGCCTTAACAATATGCATGTTGTTAGGATGAAGGGCCTCTTCCATCCTTGTCAAAGGGAGTGCTAAACTTTTCTCCTTTAAGTGGCAGAAAGAATAGAGGAGAGCATGATGACAGATATTAAAATAGAGGGAGCCATTACAGATGTGAGGAGAGATCTAACACTATGGAGATTTCCAGTGATCTACAAGGATGACACCAACTAGGAATTTAAGCAATAGTGGAGAGGCTCCCTTAAATGGCCTTCCCCAATAATGAGATGGATGACTACCTAAAGCCTTCATCCAGTGGCTGATGTAAGCAGAGGCAGACACCCACAGCTAAACACTGAACTGAACTCCTAGAATCCAGTTGTGAAGCGGGAGGAGTGAAGAGAAAAGAGGTCAAGACTGAGCTGGTGAATCCCACAGAAACAGCTTACCTGAACAAAGGGGAATTCATGGACCAAGTCTAATGGGACTGATCCAGACCACCCTAAATATGAATGTCAGTGAGGAGACCTCAGCAATCCATAGGACCTCTGGTAGTAGACCAGTTTTTAATCCCTGGCATATGAACAGACTTTGGCATCACCCCTTGGTAGCTGAGGGGTGTTGGGGTGTGGGGTTACTGGGGATTGGGAGAGGAAGGGAGGGAGAGGGAGCTGGGGTTAACATGTGAAGCAGGCTTGTTTCTAATTTAAATAAAATTAAATTAAATAAAAGAGTAGTTACCCTGTGCTTAATATTAATCTAGGAAAGCCATATTTTCTTAAGTGCCAGGGTTGTGTTGGTTTTTTATTTCTTTAAGACCAGCTATTGGCAATCATGAGTCAGGTAACCATTATCTTACCTCCCTAGTTGGCTGCTGTTGTCTGTGTCCTGGCCTGGTCTAGAGCCTCTTAGGCTAAAAAGTTGTTTGGTGACCATGTGTTCCTGGAGTATGGGTGCAGATACCCTCTCAACTGAGAGATTTGCTAATCATCCAATCATTTTAAACTTAGTGACGTTTGTCAACAAATTTAGTGATGGTTTTAATCCTCTCACAAAGCTTTCTGATGTCAGTGTTTAAAATATACAATCCCTGACTCATTAACAATTTAAACTTTAAATCAAAATTTAACTAAATATGTTACAAGGACAAACACAATTAACTGTATGATCCATTTGTTGTCTTCTCCATTTCACATTTTTTTAGGGGCTCAGGACAACAAATAGTGAAAAGTGAATAAAAACAGAAGACACAAATTTAATATTAAAATTAAGGAGTAAAAAAGACAGAATAAATTGCATGTTACAGTTTTCTGTAATGCTGTTTTGTCTTTAGACAAAAATGATGAAAGATCTCCATGTTTCCTGGGATCTCTCTGTAGTTGGACTCCTCTAAGTACAAACTGAGTAGCAGAAGGAATTTAGGAGTCTTAGTTTTGCTCTCTGAGACAGGAGAATCCCCTTGCTCACAAATGAGTAGTCTTTTGTCCTTGCTTTGGATAACATGCAGAAGGCACTCTGAGGCCTGACTCCTGAACCTGTGTCAACAGTTTGAGAGAAAAGTACCGAGCTTTGGTAGCTGGACATTTATATCAGAAGCAAGGCACCATTACATATCATACAGACTCAAATTATATCATACTGAGTCTGAAAAAGGAGGTGCTGTCTGACTCCTCAGTTTCTTCTTTCAAATCAGTCTGATCCAAACCCCATTTTTAATCCTAGCACTTTGGACTGTGGCAGAAAGAGAACGGTAAAGACTTGGTATGTGACTCCAGGAAGCATGGGTTATGAGCCACAGTGCTTCAGAAGCGCAGTCTTGGAAATACATATAAAAGGACCTGTAAAGTCCCATTTCCATAGCCTCCAGGCTAGACAGGTGAGCATCAGAAGCAAACAAACAGAAAAGAATAAATTTCATCTCTTCTCTGCTCACTCACATGAATGTTTAATAACTTCCATATATGTCTTTACGTTTTCTCCTTATTGCAGGGGGATGCAGGGGGATCCTGGGGGATGGTGTTCATATTCTTATCTGCAGTTTTTGAGAGAAGCACAGTACCTGGAATCTCTTCATGCCCTGTGTGTGTGTGTGTGTGTGTGTGTGTGTGTGTGTGTGTTCAGTAGCATATTTAACTTGATTGATAGTCTAGGAGTCTTGATATGGTTCATTTTTCTCTCTTCCAGTTAAAGAATTAAAAGGCAGGAAAAATCTCTAGTACAAAAGGTAGCAGCAAAATAACATACAATACCCCAAATGGTGACAGACAAAACTTAACAGTTGAAGCAAAGCATTTATTTGTGGTGAGGAGACCTACCCATGCACCTAACACAGAGAAAAGATCCTCTATAAAACAGACTTGTATTAGCAAAAACTCATCTCTTTTGGGAGGCTTTTTTCTTCCTTTTAAAAAAAACTAACTTGGGGTTTGTCAATTTGAAGAAATATAATATAGGGTACCTGATTGGCCCACACTTGTTGGGTGGCATGTCCTGATCTGGCCTTGATCTTCATGAGCCAGACCATGAGCAGGAAGCTGCAAGTGGGACACAAAAGTCAACAGCACCTTTGTTTTTAGCTGTCTGGAGGGAGAAGAAAAGGCTGCACATCTAGGAAATTTGTCACCTTTATTACCTAGCCATGGGCCCTCTCTCTCTCTCTCTTCCTACCAGGGTATCTGTCTAACTCCTAGTTCCTCAGTAGGAACCCTCAGATTCTAACATAGTGCCAAGACTTTTCCAGAACTTAATTGGTTAGTTGTTATTGATTGAAATTGAGCCTGAACCTTTTGTTTTGATGGTAACTTATTCAGGTTGAAGAGGAAAGTGTCGTTTCTCATGTCATAATCTGTGCTAGTTCTCTGCATTCAAAGAGGTGTGCACACAAATGTATACGTCATAACAATCCTTAAATTTTCAGGTCTTCATTCTTTAATGGAAGAACCTGTTCCCCAGCATTGTGTCCTCCCCAGCTTCCTCCTGTAAGAACATTTTTCCTGAGGACTAATTGACCATCCATATTCTGCCTTGAGCTAAAATTTGTTGCTGCCTCAAATGGGTCTTTGGTTCTCATTTACACCATGTGAAAATCAGTAATCCAAGGCATAGTTTATTTGTCTCTGAACCCCCCTTGGTGCCTGGCTCAGTACTACATCTGTAGGAGGCTTGTAATGAGTATTTGTTAGAAGAATGAAGGAAAGAATCAATTCATCACTTCAGTAACCAGATCCTTAGCTTGGTGATGTGGGTTATTGTTTTAAAGACACAATAATCTTCAGACATCCACTAGTCTCTTCTTCTATAGTAGATTTTAAGTACACAAAGAAAAATGCTCACATTATTACCCAAACATGAGTCATGTTGTAATATATGAATTGCAAATACTCACACATTATATATATTATATATATATATATATATATGTATGTATATAGTGTGTGCATGTATGTATTATTCCCACACATATATAATATGTTGACTATCAATATGTTGATTGTCTTTTTTGCATAAAGTCATTTGAACCATTCTATTAAACAAACAGAAATGCACACTTCAAACTACAGTTTATAAAAGACAAGAGAAGGATCAGAAAGAAGCTCTAAAAGATTAGCCCCCTTTTATATTTTGTATGTGAGTGCCCTTTAGCAGAATTAATAGTTCATATCTATTAGTTGTAGGGAAATATCCCTGGTACCTGTACTGTTGACCAAGATCATTTGGGGCTTGGTCACTGGTAAGTAGTAGGCAGGTGGAATAAAATGTTGGGGACAGGGACGCAGGTTCTCTTTCCTGTTCTCAGAATGCTGCAGAGGCTAACCTGGGTGGCCAGCTTCTCTTGTGAGTAATAAATAACCAACTATACCCCTTATCCAATGTTGAGTTCAATTAGGTAAATAAACACATTATCTAAAGTAAAGAACTAACATTCTGCTGTTCTATTACTCTTTTTTGTTTGTATGCTCGTTTGTTTTCACTGTTCACTTCACAGACACATACCATAGTGTTCAAATAAAGCAAGTGGCGTACTCTGTTTAGTTCAGTGGACAAGGTTTCATTTTCCTTCATTTTTTCTTTTTCCATTTGTACTTTGAAAGTGATCTGAAAAGATAATTTAAAACCCAACATTAATAAATACTTATAATGGACTTCAATCATGAAGACCAAAGAAAACTGAAGACTGAGCATGCCCAGGCAATTCTCAAGTACTTAATTTGGAAAATAAAATACCTCTCTCAACTCATTAGAAGACTCACATAAAGTTTAAATTCTATTGAAATGGGTGAGTGAACTCTTGATCATTAGAAAATAGAGGAGTAGCTCTCATAATCACAGGAAGTGATAAGAAATGAGTAACAGCCTACAGTTGGTACAGCTAAACATAGGCAGAGAGCAGATAAAGAAAACATCAAGTTATAATTAGCCTCTCTGTCAAAAACACACCCAGATGTCAAGAACTTAATGTTAATTCCAAAAACACATTAATGAGTCTTAGTGTTTGGCCCAAGTTCAAATAAAACCTGTGGCTGATGTGGAAGCTTCCCTTTATTTTATCATCATGTTCTGAGGTCATTGGATTAGCCTTTTGATAGTAGAAATTCGGTTAAGGTATATTTCCTCCTTTTTTTTCTAAATGCTATGTTTGAAGCTATGATATCATTTTCTTTTGAAGCTACTATAACTAGTCAGACTCACAGTGTTACCAAACTGGAGGTTACTGTTTTTGCTTAAAGAAGCCAAGTTTCCTCAGCCACCCTTAAGGAGCCAGTTAGAATATCGAAACTAATAGTGAAATGCAGAAGAAAGACAGGTATTCAAAGTGGCCACATTGAGAAAAGGGACAAAGAGATCCAGCATTCCCCCTCCATTCCACTCCCTGATACCTAAAGTGAAGTTACAAGATGAAGAGATGGCTGGGGATATGCATATCTAAGCAATCCAGGTCAAAGGATAGTCCTTTCCACTCAATCCCATCTTTATCTGGACTCCAGTTACTCCAGTCATGTAGTCTCACAATTTGTCAGAGTATGTGAAATCTCCTTTAGAAGGCAAGTTCCCTTCTGGCTGTATCCAGGCATCAGACTTCGTCCTCTCAGCATGTTATTCTTGGGGAAATTGCAGTTT